CACGGGGAGGGTGTGGGGTTCTGTCATATTATGGAACATTAGGAAATATAAGAAATTGGTTTTAAAAGTGTGAACAGTTGGGAGCTATTGGGTCTGTAGTTACTATTCTAAGAGGTGTTCAAGCAATGTGAACTGCTGGGGAATGTGCATTTGGTCTGGTATTCTAACATGAGATGTTTTAGCAATGTCATATATAGTTCCTTTTTTTATAATATATCATTATTTGTTTTATTTTTTTATGTGCCATACATTATTATAATAACACACACATTTTACCTTGTGCAGTCACTTCACCATGAACCGGAAACCCTTCCAGGAGACACTGGATAGGAACATCTGGAACTGGTGAAAATCCAGGACTAGTGCAAGAGAAATATATAGTACTACCCAGGAAGTAACCACCATATACGTGTTGCTGACCACCATCCGGTACCCCAGGGTTACCGCAAGACATTACTGAAATAAAAATATAGAATTTGATTACAACTGTTACCTAGTTTTATCATCAAATAAATACCCTGTCCACAGAATCCAGTCAAGTTGCTAACTGGTATTTTCTAATATGGTTCATATGGGAACTTTCAGATCATTTGCAAAATTACATTACTTAATATGGTTCATAGAGGACATTTAAAATCAGTTAACAAAATTACATTACCTAATATGGACTACAGAGGGAACTTGAGTCCAGTCACAGAAGTGACACTTCCTAATATGGTTCATAAGGGTCATTTAAGACCAGTTAACAAAATGACATTACCTAATATGGTCTACAGAGGGAACTTGAGTCCAGTCACAGAAGTAAAACTTCCTAATATGGTTCATAGAAGAAATTTATGACCAATTAACAAAATGACATTTCTTAATATGGTCTACAGAGAGAACTTGAGTCCAGTCACAGAAGTAAAACTTCCTAATATGGTTCATAGAAGGCATTTAAGATCAGTTAACAAAATGACATTACCTAATATGGTCTACAGAGGGAACTTGAGTCCAGTCACAGAAGTAAAACTTCCTAATATGGTTCATAGAAGGAATTTATGACCAATTAACAAAATTACATTACCTAATATGGTCTACAGAGGGAACTTGAGTCCAGTCACAGAAGTGACACTTCCTAATATGGTTCATAGAAGGCATTTAAGACCAGTTAACAAAATGACATTACCTAATATGGACTACAGAGAGAACTTTAGTCCAGTCACAGAAATAACACTTCCCGATAGGGTTCATGAAGGACATTTATAACCAGTTACCTATTAAATGACAATTCCTAATATGATCTACAGAGGGAACTTTAGTCCAGTTACCGTACTGATTAAAAGTAACATTTCATAATATGGTTCTTAGCTAGCATTTTGTTTGGTAACAAAGTGATATTTTTTGGTAGAGAACTAATTGGTTATATGTATCAAAGTAGACTCCAACGTCACTTTTCAAGTTTTAAATTGTTGTCGATGGAGTGGTGTCAGACTTTAACATTTCTCATTAAGATCTTCAGAGGGCGCTTTATAAAATACTTACATTGACAGTGTGTTATATCGCCACTCCATGTTCCATTAGATTGACAAGTCCTTTGTTCAGATCCAAACAATTCATAACCAATATTACAATCGTATACTGCTGTGAAACCTTCACTGGTGTTTGTGAATTCAACACTTCCATTGGTGGGGACTGAAGGAACTCCACAGTCAATAGCTAATAGAAATTAATAAAACAATTGAAAGTTAAATCTACTCACAAGATGAATACAAATTTTCTATCTACATCTCAAACATTCATTTCCCAGCCAGTATCTACCACCATTTCCAACATCAAAATTTCTTGCCAAAATTATTCTGCATTTTTTTTTATATTCTTCAATATTTCGGGTAATGAACCCTAATTTTGAAGCTAATAGTCAAAATTATAGTCAATTTTCAGTTTTTACACAAAAAATTTGGCTTTTTTTGTCCCAATCTCCTGAAGGAAAGTGCAGACTATAAATAGACTATTTTGGGCATTTTTGATGAAGAGAGGAAACTGGTAGTGAGTAGGTTAAACTAGTAATTAAACTACCTTCGGTTTGATGATACAGAAAAGGTAATAATAGTAATAATAATAATTTTTCATCAGTTAAAAGCAATAACAATGAAATACTACATATTAAGCAAAAAAAAAAAAAATGTAAAATGCTCAAAAAAAATGATAAAAGTAAGAATTATCTTTTAATTGGATGCTCTGTTCTAATGTCAGATATGGCATATACATATTCACCCACTTGTCTTATAATTTCAACATCATTGCAACTCATCAGGTATATAAATTTCTGATTAATGTTAAAGGCTGTGTTTGGATATGAAATAATATGAAAATGCATAAGTGGTCATAATAAAAAGAAAAGTATGTCTGTTTTTTGTTCTGTGTATTGTATTTAGTCCTATACCACATGGCATAAATTACATTTTCAATGTTTGTTGTTTAAAATTGGTTTGCACTTTTCCCATGATGCAATTCATGAAAAAAAAGGATTGTACCGGATTCTGCCGTAAATTCGCCCAGGGCCATTAAACGGCAGTTTGGGTTTTTAAAAAAATAAATTGGAACTAAGAAACTGCCCAGGCCGTTTTTTTGGCAGGTTTTTAAGGTGTTATTTTAATCTTTTCTGATGCCTAAAAGTTTCGCCGTAGTCATTAACGCCTATTCAAGAGAATTGATGTTTATTGCGACTAGCGTGAATGGATTAGCTTTGTTTCGACAATGAGTTGTCATCGCTGTAAATAACTTTAAATTATTCTTCAAATGCTTATCTTTTGAAAACAACAATTTTTTTTTTATTTAAAAACAAATCATGCTGCTTTCCCATCAAAATCCAAGCCAAAAGATCGTACAACCTCGGCAAATTTCTTCCATGCTGGGTTCAATAACATTAACATATTTAAATGTGGTAATTTGAACACGCTGGCATCAACCATCATTTTCATTGGTTAATTATCGATTTGACCTGTCAGGTCAGGTCAGGTCAAAACATGGAGGATATTCATCGAGCGTTGAAAATGCGATCGGAATCATTTGCTTACGATGAAATAAGTTGAAATTTATTTGCATTTCATAACAATTCAACGAATTTATTTTTTGCATTGCATAAACATTACTACGGTAGGTAATAATCAACAATTGTAAAATGCAGCATGACCGGATTACGCTACCACGATCATTCGCTACTAAGCAATACAGTTGTGTTCATTGTTATTTGAAAATTCTTTTACAATATACTTTCGTTACTAATAAAATGAAACAAAATAACTGTATTTGGTGCACGATGTTCGTTAATGTGATTTTTGGGGGGAAAGATGCGCTGTCTACTTATTAATCCAGCTAGAAAAAAATGTATACAATTTTAGTTTCTTTCGTTTTGGATGGTCCAACTGCTGGTGTTGAAAGTCGGCGTAGGTGGATTTTTCAATGAAAATAAGGGCCATGAAACCGCCCAGGTCGATTTTTCGGATGGGAGAATTTACGGCAGAATCCGGTACACGTTGAACACACTGAAAATTGTGAGATACTTACAGCAAACAGGTAAAGGTCCAGACCATTCATATAAACTCTCTGACTCTCGTTTACACACTCTGAGACCAGGACCAGTATTCATAGCATAGCCCTCATCACATAAATATGAAACTATACTTAGATAACCATACTCAGGATGAGATGCAGACCAATTACCGTGATCTATATCTTCTGGCTTTGGACAGGTTGCAGCTACAAGAACAAAACGTAATTTGGAAAATTATTTTGTTTAATTAATTCCCCTCCTTGTTTGCAAACCCAGCCAATCATGTTAATCGTTACATATTACTTCAAACAGTTCGAAACCACTTCAGATTTTACGATTGCACTGATGAAAGGAGTCGTGACATTCCACATTGAAGACACTGCGAGTTGTCTCCCTTTGACCATACACTGATACAGGCCTCTTGCAGCCGACAACAATGACCCAACAGCGTGTTTACTTCTGGTGAATGAACACGATTTTTATTCTTACCCTCCATCTAAAATTTTCTATTTGGATTTAGACGTTTCAGAAAATCAATCCGCGGAAAATTCTCATCCCAGATTCTTACATGTTCATTAAAAAATTAAAATATAAACAAATTCAAATAATTTTTGTTGGATTTTATATTCAGTTTCTAGACATGGCATGATCAGTTCAATTATTCATAAAAGATGATTTTTCGTTCACTGCGAGAACTTGCATATTAATGCGTGAAAGGGCTTGACGAAATGTTTACTACAAAAATCGAATTTTATTTTAAACTTGAATGTTTTTTTTTATAGTTTAATGTCAAAATGCAGAGCTTCCAAAGGTAAATATGAGATACAATTATGTCTACAAAACTGACAATCATAAAATGGGCATTTAGGTTTTTT